AATATCATTTGAAAACCAGGGCGAGCTCATTGTTATAGATGGAGGGTGGTCATAATGTAATGGCTCTTCGGTGTAGTCTTCAAATTGATAAGAAAACGAACGAAATTCTCAGAGGGGAAGAAGCATTGAGAGTATTTATGACGTCATTTGAACTTGAGGGGTTCCATAACCTGTGTCCTCGTCCTCCAGATGAAAGGATCAAATAATGCCGTTGTCTGAATTATTTCACAAGTGCAGTATAATTTTCTCTCCTTTCTTTACAAAGATAAGGCAAGGTGACAGGAGTAAGATTGATTCTTTAGCAGTAAAATAGCTTAACAAAATTTTTATTTATGATTAAAGCAAAAAATTTATTTGCTTTAAAAATGGTGTAAAGTTGCAGTTTACCCCCTTGCAATTTAAAGCAGAAATAGTTTTTTTCTTCTTTTTTTCGAATTTAGAAAAAGTAGTGTCCGGTTTGAAGAGATAGAAAATAACGTTTTGGGGAAAAAATGACTGCCCGCGTCCGGATACGGGAGTGTCAGCTTTGCGGAGAATATTCGTAAAGGATTATTCATGGAAGATTCCCGGGGAATTAGAAATATGTCCGTATTGGGAGGCGTCCGTTTTGCAGGAGTGTCCATAACAGAAGGTTTCTCTGTATATAAAACTTAGCATGTTTTTTCTTATTTGGAAGCTGTCAAACGATTATTAAATACCTTAATCATAGAATGTTACGCAATGATAAAATACCAAGCGATTAATTTTTTGTAATAAATGGCCAAACTTTATATGTGTGCATTAAAACTTTTGCTTGGTACTCTTTTGCTGTTTCGGGATTGCTTCCGAACGACGAATTTTGGTCAGACGAGTGGGGTCCTTGAGCGTCGAGCATCAACTCTTAACCCTTTTATGAAAATTTGAATAAAATAGTTTGCAAAAGTTATAATTACAGAAAACAATATTACGAAGGGGTGATAAAAATATTCCTTTAAGCACGAGATAAAAAAATAATCCGAATCTAACTGATTTATCGCTGCAATTGAATATCACGTGATCATCTAAAAAAATTCACAAATGTCGTAACGTTTCAATGATTTCTATTAGTTGTAGCAACATCAACAATATTATTTATTAAATAGTCTTTATGCATAGTTAAATACACCACATTTTAATATAAGACGCACATTTATAGATTTTAAATATAAGATCATTTTAAAAAAAGAAGAGAAAAAACTATTCATTTCCTTTAAATGTTTCGAAAGAAAAATGTTAATAATAATATACTGACGTTTTACAGAAGAGCGAAATCTTATCTAAATTTTTTTTTACTTAATATAATACTCAAGCTTGCTTCAAAGGCATCAGATAAAATATTTACACTTATTAAAAAGCAATCCCTGGATAAAAAAGGTATCAAGTCGGACAAAATTCCACTATTTTATTTTTAATGATACAAAAACTGGATATTACTTTCTTTTTCCTCGTAATAAATGATGGCCAGGGAATTCGCATCTTTTCGGGGATTATTTCTAAGGTGCGGAAAGAAAAAGTATTCGAGTTTCGAACAACCATTTCTTTTGCTGATAGAATACTAAACATTCTTTGGTGACACCTCTGAAAGCGTATCTGTTTCTTTACGAGCTTCTGCAACAAAAACCATAAGATACCACTTTCCACAAGTCTGAGAGCTTTCTACGAGATAAAGAGTTTTCGAGAAGAAAACAACAGTTGCAGATTGTGTATTGATTTTTTTCACAGGTGTCAGAATATTTTGCTGTAGATTCTCCAAATGAATTCATTTCTTTTTCATAAAAGAGAAACGCATATGGCCCATTGTTCAAATTTAAATATTTCGTTTAAGTACTGGTAGACGATAGATAATGATATTGTTGAACTATAGATTCGACGTGCTGTAAGCCTCCTGCTAAAGTTTCTCTAATGCGGTATAAAAGGTACACTAATGTGTTACATAGCTACACCAATGCATTATATGAGGTGAAATGAAATTCTTCATTAATGACTGTGCGCTGGCAATAATTTTGAATGCGCACCCTTAATTACCAGAAGCACACTTAAAACCGGGAGACTCATGATGATAAGCGCAGGTTCATCAGTCTCAGATTCATATATGATTCAGTCACTGTACACATTCTTGGCCTCCGCACCACACTCCTTAACTACTCAACCATGTGTGCAAGTGGGATTTTTATGGCTCTGTTATGAACATATTGTTCAAATATTGTAATAGTGTAGGAATAAAAGGTATGACTTGAAATTGGTGAAAGGATATGACTTGAAATTGTCATTGGTAATATTAAAATAGTATAGGAAAAAAGATATGACTTGAAATACGTTTTAGTCCTCTTTAATACTAAGCAAGTCTTGTTTCTTTAAAGGGGGGGGGGAGGTTTGTGATACGAACAAACAGGTTATCAATCTTTATCAACTTGTATTTATTGTTTTTAAAATTTGTGGAGTTATGTTTGTATAAGGTATTTAATACGTCTTGTAGTGCTGCATATAAAGCTGTAATACAAATAAAACAAGCCCGTTTTTTTGTTCTCTCATCTCTCATCGCTCCAAACATCTGATTTCCTTTTCTCAAGTGCTCCCTCTCTTTTGTTAATTTTTGCGGAGAAAGAATGACGTAATTGAGATGAGTTCCTTTCTCTACTAAATTCGTGTTTTATAATTTTAAAGGCAAAGGGCTGTTAAAATTTTCAATATCATTAGGATTAGCGGTACAATCAAATATTTGCTCAATTTTCGACAAAACTATGTAAAAGTTATTTTAGAATTCCAAATATTTTTCAATATGTATAAAATGTAAAAATTTTTTTACATTTTTCCGAAATCAAAAAACAATTTCACTGGTTTAAAAGACAGAAAAAATATAGCTTTTAATAAAACGTATTAAAATTTAAATCAGTAGTTTTCAAAAACATCCGAAGCTGTTTTGTAACTGAATTAATGAGACTAAGGTTTATAAAAAACACACTTGAATTTTACCTTAATTTAGATTTTATAATACTGCATATACAATCTTGATTTTACAATAGAACTGCAAGTTGTAAAATCATGGACATATGTTCAGTAATTTAGAGCTTTTGCAAACATTTAACAAAACATCAAAAAAAATTTAAAGTTTTTTTCAAGGAAACATACTGCTATTTAGAAACTGAGCCGTGTTGTTTAAGCTGATAAATACTGTCATTTTTGCAACAAAATTCTATTATTAAAAAAAACTGCTATTTCAACAAAAAGGAACTCTATAAAATTTAATCATTGAGGTCGGAGTGTGTCGAGCAGAAAATCGCATGACCAGTTATAAAGAGGATTCGAATCCGCATCTCCTCATTGGGAAGTGAGTGCCCTGCATTAAGCCTGTCAGATCAAGTGCTTGGTTATGTATAAAAATATTAAACTGTCTTTATCTTAAAAATCTTATTTTCCAAAATCATATTTAAGCTTAAATACGTTCAAAGCTTTATCAACCAAGCCTTAGAAAAATGTCTGGCAGTTTAACTTAACGAAAAATCATTCATAAAGGAGTCAGGTCGAGCATTAAGTGATAATTTATTTATCCGATGATAAAGATCACACCTTATTATTTCTTAAAAATTAGAGCAAGTGCAGAAAATAATAGCAAAACGATTTGAAAAAAGATAAAGTTATTTTACGATAGGCAAAACTGCATGGCAAAAACTATAATTTGTGGTGACAGTTTTAATCCATTTATTATTAGGGTAAAAAACAGGGAAAAACTGTTTTGTGAAAAGCAGATTTAAACCGTCAAATAGCAGTATACTCAAAAAGTCAGCAAAAAAATAGGAAACTTTAGCAGCCAGCGGGTAACGATTAAAAACAGAAAAAAAAATCTTTATCTATATTTAAACAGTTTTTTTTTCTGCAGGAATACTTTTTTTTCTGTAAACCTTATAATTTTTTTTACAGTTTAAGTACCATGAAGGTGAACGAAGGGGATATTAGGGTATCTGATATCCGGAAAATATAATATCATTGTAACTCTATTATGCCATTGGTTCAATAGGTTCTCATTACTTTTACTTATAAAAACTATACAATTTATACAACACGTATTCATTACAGCATTTAATTACTCATTACAGTTGTCAATAGTAGCTTGGTGTTTCTAGAGCCGTCGATAATTGTTCGTCCTTTAAAAATAATTATAAAAATAATGGAGTTGTTACACTCGATTTTCGAGAATTAAAATTAACTAACTTTTAGAATACGTACAAATTGAAATAAATAAATTATATTGCAAAGCTATATAAAAGGAAAAAAAGTACACTTATTCGTATATTCATTCCACAAAAAAATGCATATTTTTATTTCGAATGATGATTAGATAATTTTGGAAAAACGGGTACAAATTGAAATGTAATTTTGCAATCAAGCAGCTAAATTAAAGTGTAAAAGGTACTTCTTCATCTAGAAAAAGTATACAAATTCAATTCTCTGTATTATTGTCGACATTGATGCTTAATTAGTTTCTGTAACGATTACTATTGGTATTATGCTAATTTGTTTTTAATAAATACTAAATATACACACATTGGTACCACGGTGCTTTTTTTTGGAAATTGGTTTTCATGGTCCACTGAAAGGAATATGTGATGTGAGAGAAAATTGCTGAATAAGCTGATGTTCGATTATCAGGAGTTGACTTCAAGCATTATGCCAAATGTACCGAAGATAGCCATCTTTCAAAAAACCAATTTACTTAATCAAATAGCATAAAACCTCCGGGAAGGGCAAAAGTAAGGGATTGAACTCTTGGGAAAAGTGTTGATTGTAGTAATTTTTGTTTATCAGGATCTTACTTCAAGCACCCGCATTGTGCAAAATGCTGCTGAATATAATTCATCTTTATTTTCTAAGGATGAACTTATAAAAGCAGGTTTTGCTTAATTTCATTATGTACACCAACGGAAGGAACATGTAATAAAAATAATAAAGAATTAGAATTCCGTTAACACAATTGTGTCGATACATTTCCTTTACTTTGTTGGATGATTTCATAGTTTTGATAGTTACTGATGCATTGTTCACTTATTTTTCTCTATCCCGTACTAAAAACAAGTATTCATTAGGTAATTTATGAAATAAATAAACAAAGTTAGCTTAGTAAAGCAGTTAAATTATTCCGAGCGACGATGTGAATGAAACAACAGATACAACTCAAAATGTTAATTTTTGAAAAGAACATGATACATAATAATTTTTTGTTGAATACCTACAAATTAAACTTGCTAGGAAGGACAAGCTAAAAGTTCAATATTTATTAAAATTTCCATGCTATAACTTGCTGAAAATAATCTGAATCTTTATTATATTTTTATAATATTTACACTAAGTGTTTTTAAGGAAACTAAGTAATTTAGAGTAATTTTTTTTTTAGAAATGAGTATAAAATGATGCATCGATGGTCAATAAGCAATAAAACTAATTCCATTTAATATTCTTGCACAAAACTCAACATAGACTTGCCAAGGTTTTACATCATATAACCAGAAACAAGTTTAATAACATATTAGTTGGAATTTTTTAATATTAATTTTTTTCTTATTCCCCTCGCTCATTTTAAAAGCATGTGTTCATGTAAGTAATGAAATATTTCCATAAATACTCTTTGCCTAAGCTTTTCAATAGTTCTTTTATGTATTCTCGTATTTCATCCTATACCATTACATCAATGATCGTAAACGAATCAATCACTTTAGGTAAGTCCAGTGGAGGCCCTATTAAAACACATGGAAACGAAAGATCCGTAACTGTTAGAGGTCTGAAGCCCAAAACAAGATATTTCTTTCGTGTTAAGTGCATGAATCCGATTGGAGAAAGTCAGTTTGGAGCAGAAGTAGCTGTAACAACGCTGGAAGAACGTAGGTATAGAGACTCATTTTCTAAAACAAAAAGAATAAACATTTGCAATCGTTCAATATTTGTCATTTAAAGATGTTTAACAAGAATATTACTTCTTTACTTTAGTATTCCTTCTTTGTTTAATGATAAAAAAATCATTTTTAAAGAATATTAAGTTTGTATTTTGAAAACATTGTTGTGAAATTTTCTTACAGCTCCTAGATCCCCTCCCAGATATGTGAAAGCTCTTGCAACTTCGTCAAAAAGCTTAAACGTTTCTTGGCAGGTAATATTAAAGAGTTTTTAGTTTTATTCGAACTATTTTCTTCCAAATTTATAAACATAAAATGTTCTAAGGGCAAAGTGTAACTGAAAGAAAATCTCGATAAAAGTTTGTGAGACGAAGCCTTGTGGAACAAAATCTTGTGGGACGAAACTTCTTTAACTAAAGCTTGTATATGAAATCCTTATAATGACGAAGTGGCTCGTGGACAGAAGAGAAGACGTGCAAAATTTGGAGAGTTCGAACCGTTATGGTTCAAACTTTTCATGTTTGGCGCATTTGATATCTTGTTCAAGAGGCATTATCGTCCCTAAATTACTATTTTATACCAAAGAAATTCAAGCTGCAAAAATAAGATTTTGCCATTTACAGATTTTTCAAGCACAAGATTTTGTATATAAATTTATTTTTATATATGAGATGTTATGTTCACTTATTTTTTGTAGACGCTGAGCTTGGATAAAATGCCAAATACTTCTGACGTTTGCTACGTTAGACTTGTTCTTTGATATTCTATGAACAGTTGTAATTTATTGCTATTCTACGAGAAGCATATCTTTTGTTAAAATTATTTAGGAGTGTAAAAGTTGAATTAGTACATTTTTAAAATAATTTAATATCTCGGATAAATAACAAAGTTAAAGGAATAAATTATCAACTATTTATAATTTAATAACTTGATTTGAAACATTTCTGTTTTTTAAATGCATTTTATACTCTATAAAAATATATGCTAAATTTGAAGAAATAAAGCTCTCAGCTGGTGTGCCAGTGTAAAACAGTTTAGCAGACATAAAATTACATTTATTTAAAAACAGAAGCAAAAACAGAAACAGAAAAAGAGACAAAAGAACACTTTATCAAATAAGAGTTGTTGGTGCAAACCGAGAACAGAATTTGGAATAACCAGCTAATCCAGGGATTCAAACTGAGTACATTGTGAGGCGAAAGGCTGTCTTCCTTGAGAACTGCTCTTGTGCTTGATTAAGTAGAAAAAAAATCTTTAAATTCTTATTGAAATTATATTTAAATGTAAAAATGCTTAAAACTATATCAGCATATCAGAACACTCTTATAAAAATGTCTGCCAAATTGACTTACCGAAATAAAAATCTAGAGACAGATAATAATCAGCTAGAGCAGCGATACCAGAATGAAGTTGAATCACAAGTTTAAATACGATTTTCAAAATCATCAAACAATTTCTGAAAAAGAAAAGCAATTATAGAAAATAATCGTAAAATGATTTGAAAAAAGATCAAAGCATTTTTCGGTAAGCGGAAATGCATAGTAAAAAATAGAGTTTGAATTGACAGTTTCAATCCATCTATCATTGGGTGAAAAACTGAGAAAAACTCTTTTATGAGCTACAGACTTAAATCGTAAAAAAGAAAGCGCAAAAAGTTTGTAAAAAAACTGGAATTTCATGCAGTGCGGAGGTAACGGTTAAAACATAAAAAATTCTATATTCGTCTTCAAGCAGTTTCTTTCTTAATTGTTTTTGTATAGAACATTCCTTTTTTTACTGTGTGCACCTTTGTTTACATTCAATATTTTCTTAATAGGTTCCTATCGATGAAGAAAAGGAATCAAATATTGATGGATTCTACGTCGGCTATAAATTAAGCTCTAGTCCCGATGCCTTCACTTTCGTGCCAGTGGATATACTGCGTAATTCACAGGAACAATCTTATGAGCTTACGAATTTGAATCGGCACTCAGAATACAATGTTATTGTTCAATCATTTAATAAGCGTGGAGCTGGACCTCCTTCTGAAACAGCATCTGTCAGAACGCTGGAATTTGGTAAGGTGCTAATTATATAATTACACTCGAATTAAATAAATACCAGTGCTAATTGTGAAATTTAGTCTAATTTTTAGTTTTGCGATGAAAAATACCGTTTAGCTTGATAAAATATACAGTATCACAGTATACAGTGAGTAATACAGTATAAAATACAATTGTGAATTTTTTTAACATCTATTTTTTTAATTAGCCCAAAGATATTTTTAGTATTTTCATGAAGTGAACCAAGAATCAAGAAATTTAAGACATTTTTGAAACATTTAAAATTTTAAAAAAAGAAATAAAATTTATGTATTTCAACCTCAGTTTTATTGATTAATGCATGAAAATTATCTAAATAATTTCAACGTAATTGATAAAAAAATAAATTCCGTGTTTTTTTTATCATGACAGCATTAATATTTTTTTTCGTTATGAGCAGCGATATTTTACAAAAACATTTACTAAAAAAATTTATAAAAATAATTTATTTGAAAAAGTAGACTTGTCTTAGATACTTTATTCTAAAAAGAAACATATTTTGCAGGAATATAGTTTTATGAAACCTAACTTAGCTTTGTTAAGAAGATTGAAGATTAGAAAAAATAGGCTTAGTAATTTTAGAAAACGAAGTAAATTTTAAAAGTAAAATGTACTATTATCAAGATTTGGTACCAAATAAATCAAATATATTGATGCGTCATTTCTTTCTTATTTGATATATTGCAAATGATGTCTGCATTTTTTTTGCAGATAAACCTTTACCACCTACAATAACAAGCTATTATACAACGTATAATTCCATCAAAATTAATTGGGAACACAGAAGTCTTCCAAATGCTCCAGTAACAGGTACACTTTAAATAGTATATCTGAGTAACGAAAAAACTAAAATAATTAATGTGTTAAACATGGAATTCTACTTTAATATTTCAGAAATATGTTTATATATATATTTATATATAAGTTCAAAATGTAGAGAAAACGAGAAATGGGGGAAAAAGGGGGGAAAAAGAGAAAAATAATAATGAAAATAAAAGTAACAAAAATTGGAGGTAAAAAAAAATTCCGAAAAAAGGACAAAGAATTTTATAATTGTTTAAAAAATCCGGAAAATAAAAGATAAAATCATGAGATATAATCGTGTGAGTTGATGAATTCAGCAACAGCTTAAACCCCTTTAATTACGCCACTGATAGAATTGAAACGAAATGATAAAAAAAAAAATTTAATTTACACCTTTCATAAAAGTGAAGAATCGAATAACTAATGGTTCTAAATCACGAAGTGACCGAAGTAGCATCAGAAACAAAATTGCACAGATTGCTATAATACATTTTGAAAATTGAAATTGTTATATCATCAGTGGTGATATCATCGTAGATCTAAAGATGTAAAATTAGTCACCTTTTCTCGGATGTCACTGCAGTGATTGTTCAAAAAAATATTTGCCTAAGAAGCTGAGCCAAACAGACAGGAAACTACATTAACTTCAAGAAAGCAATGGAATGACATACAAGTTAGAAATCAGTTTCCTCAAATAACAGAGAAACTCATCAAAAATAGAGTTTTTTTCCACAGAAATACGAAATACTCTTCAAATATTTCTGAATGCTCAAAATTGAGAGTCGTGTTACTTTCTAAACTTTTCTTTGATGTAAATCTCAGAAAACGGTACAATTTGTTAGGAATCGAAATATTTTTAAGCTTTCCTTGGCATTTCAGGAAGGCGAATAAACTATTTTAACCACAACTTATAAAAAGTTGAGACTTCAATATTTTAATCAGTCAACTTAATATTTTGTTGCAAACGTTTCCTTCAAAAATTCGAAAATTAATTTTAAAAAATTTATAATTTCTGATGGCTTTCACTGATAATTAGTTCAAAACTTTCCAAGTATGCAAATATTTTGACTTTTAAGAACTATGCAAAAGATAGTTCAACTTTTAAATAGTTGGGCATCCGGAAAACTTACATATACAAATATTTCATTAACTTATTTTTGAATTTTCGGGGTGATCTAAACAATGTATTGTTTCCTTAATATATCAAAAGTTATTACAGACGAATAACACTCTAATTGCGTTGTAATGTAAATTTGTCTGAACATACTATATCCTACTGTTACTTATTTTAAAGTTCAAATTTGGGAAGCATAATTTTTTAACCATGTATTAAAACCTTCTTAATATATATGCATTGTTTTCTAAGTAATAATGATTTATAAATTTAACTATTCGAAATGAAGTTTCCTGAATGAGAACTTTTTTAATGAAATAAAGACTAAAATTTTAAAATGAGATGAATTACATTTTTGTGTAGTTAAGAAGAAAAAAAATAGATTTTCTTGTAACAACAGATACTTCTTGAAAAATTAGTTAATTAGACCTGAACAGAATGAAATTTGGAAGTGGATTTCTTATGATTTGATGTAATTATTTACTTTTAGGAAGGATTTTTTTTCGGAAAAAATGCTGATCCGTTTTACTTTATTTATTTGTTTATTTTTTATTCCCGAGATAATTTTAGCTCGTTTCGTAACAAAGTTTTCTTATGCAATTCGTTTTTTCTTTTTTTAATTTTGAGCAAAGAAAAGATTTGAATTAAAAGAATCATGTCATTGTTGTTGTCTTATGCCATTTGTCAATACTGACAAGCCTATTTTAACGCAGGCAGGTGCATTTCTTCTTTTTCTTAAGTGGCGCCATCTATGGCTAAAAATCTGATTCCTACCACACACATTCGTCCCAGCCCACATTTACACACCATCCGTCCATCCGTAATTTTAACCTGCACCAGAGTACGATAAATCTTCCATCCAGGACTTCCAAAAGTATTGATTTGTTATACGTATTTAGAGGACTTGGAGACCCCAGCAGATTTAACTTGCATCAGTCGCAATAGTATATGCATTTGTCCAATGCTCAACCAACCAATCTATCACTGACAAGAATCATAAAGTTGGAACATTTTGTTTAAAAGTAAATCTTAAACTACAAAAAAAGTAAATATGAAAAAAAAATAATAATAATTAAAAATTATGAATTCATCAGGTCAATGGTAACAACTACATTAATTAATTTAAATGTAAAAACAAATAAAAAGTATCAAACATGAGTAAAAATGAGTGAAAAATATTTTGAAGTGATGATGATTTCTATTGATACGTTCATAAGCTAACGAATATTAGTAAATTTCACAGATTTCTGTAACCAGCATTCAAAATTCCCTAGCGACAAATTTCTTATTTTATTATACGTTAATATTTCAGACAGATTATTTTAAATAGATAACGGAAAAAGCTTAAGAAAAATAATAACAGAGTTATTACAATTGTAAATAACATACTGGGAAATGTAAAAAAAAAAAAACTCTGTGCATCGGCCTCGGGTGAACTTAGAGCTTGACCAATCAAGACAAAAAATGTCCTTTTATTAAATGCATTCGAAAACATAATTAAGTAAAACTACTGAGATCTCTCGGTTACTGTGAGTAAAACTCAATTTTCAAGAAACAAAGGCTACTTTTTAATCATCGAAACGTGTTCCTTACAATAAAATCATACTATACGTTTTGTTCATTTTGGTGTACACATATCCAGACAAAAATGAAGAGTGTAAGTTGAAAATTGAAATCACTTTTCATCGTTTGTTGCAGCGTTTTTTTCATCGTTTGTTGCAGCAAATATCCTTAAAATCCCATTTTACACGTAGAAAAAATTCTGGAAAGACTTACCGTACTGCATAGTAATAACAATTCTGGTATGAAAATCCATAATTCTGGTTGATAAAACTAAAATATACAGTATTTAAAAAATATATTTGGACATTTTATCAGTTTATAAAGGTTTACCGGGAATTCTGGTTTTTAAAATTAAAGTTCTTATTACCACACATTTTGTAAGAAAAATATAACTGAAGTAAAAACTTAACCGGATAAATGGATTTTATGCTGTACTCTGAGGTGTTATGATAAAACTTTCTAGATTCAACCACATTGACCAGTTTTTATCCCCTATTCTAAAATTATATTTTATTGTTAGCTTTACAAAAATGACTGCCAATGCACTTCGCTAAAAATTACCGATTATTTTTATATTTCCATAAAGTCAGAAAAATGATAAATTTTACCGTTTTCTGCTAGTTTTGATCATAATATTTTTCTCAGTGCATTTATTTTCAGTGAAAATTACTTGTTTATAAGAAAAGAGAACTTTCATCTTTCAACAATTTCATACTTTTTTTATGATAACTGTAATTTCGAGCACTAGCATTCAAATAAAATTATCTGAAATTTCATTTTGATTGTTAAAACGAATAGGAGAATTTTTATGACAACCCTGTGCTCTTTATAGCAGAACATAAGTTTTTACGGGCCCTAAAATAAAGTCATATTTTAACCCGTTGCGAAATTTCAAAGAGCCTAACTCTTTTAAAACTATTCAAAAACAAAACATAAAAAAATATCATTTAATATTAAAAGTTGAGTAAAATGTTACGTAAAAGCAAATATGCATTTTCAGCAAAACTAAGTTTGCTGCAAAAGAAAGTCGCACTCTTAATGATCTTATGTTGAGAGAAATGATGTAAATTTGCGTGAGTTTCAAAAAAGAAATGAATTCATTTAATTTTCTTCCTCTAGAAACAAGGAAAGAATATTTCAACATTTCCCTAAATTGAGTTTCAGAATGAAACATTATAACCATGCATCAAAAATTATTGAAGCAGAAACAGTATGATTTTATTTAAAAAATGTCAGTGGCTTTGGAACTAATTCTCTTATACTTCAACATTCTGTGTTCTATTTTTGTTTAAGTGCAGTTTCTCTAGCTGGAACGGGGTCTTTTAGAATTATATTTATTATTCTAATTCTGTATTTTGGATAAAACATCTGTGAGGTACATCAATTTTCCTTTGGAGCATTTTATATTCTAATATGAAATTACTTTTATTCAGCTGAATACGATTTAATTTAATGCGAAACGTTCTTTATAAATAATTCCTGTTTTGTGCAATTTCTTTTTTTATGTTGAAACTCGAGGTATTTTATGAATAAGAGAATAAAAGCCGCACTTATTCAAATTTAAATTTAGTTTATGGAGTATATATTTTCTTTACAAAATAAATTTACTTTTTAGTTATTAATAAATATAAGTATGCGTTTGAAAGCCAAGATAAAAATTTCAAACATATCAAATATGAGTTTTAAAGCTTAAATAAATAAAAATATTTAAGGAACATAGAAATGTTTAATTATTAATTTCCAACTGTAAAATATATTTTCAATTAAAAAGCGATTCTAAGCACTTTTAAATTAATTTTAAATAAAAATATATGATTTTAAATTTAAAATTTCGGAGCTGTATAAAAAAAAGAATAATACATATTTTAAAGAGTTTAATGTACAATAATTATTTATGCATTATAAAATATTTGCTGAGGCCTGAAAGTTTTAGATTTTATTAAAAACAAAACAATTTTCAGTTATTTCAATTTACACTACAAGAGTTATCATTTCATAATTACTTCAACAAAGGGTATTAAAATATAAAAGTAAAATTATGTTTCTCACATTTTTAAAATCTACCTAATCTAATCTAACCTAATAAATCTAGTCTTTTTTTAATTTTCTACCTAAATCTTTTCCGCATATTTCTATAACAATTCAGAAATTCAGAAACTTGTTTATTTTAACATTTTATTTGTATTGTACCTTATCATTAGTAGTTTAAATAAATTTCGAAACTTTAGTTTGGAGTAAATTAAGCAATTTTTATATATAAAAGAAATCACATTGTAAGTAGTTACATGCGAAGAAGATTTATCCTAGACATTACAAACTACTATAGTACAAAAAAACTGTGTCATATTTACTTTGCTTTGCTTGCATCAATATTTGCAACAATGTAGAAATATTTGCTTTTGCGGGCAACATTGAAATGCTAGGTCTCCTAAAATTAACGGACGTTTTTAAAAATCAATTAACTGAAAACCGTATACTTTCCTTTGTTCTGTTTCAAAAATGGTGTACTTTATTTTATCCGAACTGTACTTCATAACAAGTTTCAAAATAAGTTATAAGTTTATTCAATAGATAGCTCTGCTATCAGAGAAAAACTAGGAATAATATTTTCTACTGCGTGCGAAACCATTCTAACTGAAATATTTGCACGGGTGTCTCCATCACATGGCTGTTGCAGATGGTTATTGCTTTGAAAATAAAATTTTATATCTTTATTTTCTATATAAATTAAAAACGCCTTTGTAGATAATTCTAAAATTTGAGAGGAATTAATTTCACGTCTTATTCAAACTAAGTAAATTACACATTTCTATTTCCGTTTTACACTAATTTATATTTCGAATCAACCCCAAAACGTTTATTTTTCTGGTCCTCCAGTATTTAATACATCAGTTCTGTTACTATAAATAATGTTTTATTATCATTGCCAATAGTAAATATACCAAAATAGAAGTGAAAAGCAATGATATTTTTAATATTAAAATGATATTTGAAGGACAAAATATGATAAGGATCTGGCGAATCATCATGAGTATTTATCACAGTTGAAAAATGATTAAAACGTCAAAATCAGGTAAGATAGGCAGAGGAATTATATAAGCAGATAAATTAGGAGCATGGATTGATTAGACAAAATAAGCTGTATTAAACAAGCAAAGTCTGTAAATATTTGACATAGATAATACTTCGTCAGATTTTATATTTATCCTTCTGTATACTTTGGTAGTTTTACTTTTAGTGTGTATTCTCAGAAATTTAAATAAATAAAGTGAAATCTATACAGATTACAGTTTATAGTTTGCAGTTTAAAGATTACAGATTTGCAAATTACAGTTTAAAGTTTATAGTTTAGTCTGTAGAGATAAATGTGAACCATTTTTGTGCTATAAATTGAATAGTGTGATTAAGTAATTTAATAATTTTTCAGGGTTTGTCTTATATTACAAAGCTGATGGAGCTGATTGGCAAGAAACTCATATTCCTGGTAAAAAGACCCTATATACATTGCACGACTTACTGTGTGGAACGAAATATTACTGCTTTTTGGTAGCCACAAACAGTGCTGGAAAGGGAAACAGCAGTGAAACAATATCGACTAAAACAACTGGAAGCGGTAGGTACTTTGTCAACTAAATTCGTTTCCTTATTTTTTCTCCCTATTAGTGAGTTTGAGTTTCAACCTTATTAATGATTTTAAGATAATAATGGTAACTGCTTACACTAAGTTACAAAATTTATGATTGAAGTGAAGATTATGGTGATAATAACCAAGCCTCCGCACCGTGCTTTTCAACTACACAAACCTGTATGGATACTTCCCTCTCTGCGATCACCAGCAATAGTAAATTATAATTGACCCCAACCCACTAAGACATGATTTGAAAATGGACATACTGTCACGCGAACGACAGTCTTGTGACTCTGCGACAAATATTAAACCCACCACATCAACTAGGCGAGAACTAGAAATTGGAGTTAATCAAATGTACAAAATATTTCATTAAATTTAGAAGTTCATAATCTCACAAATTATGTTTATGGTTTTCAGATTTATTACCAAAATGCTATACAGCAACATAGATATTGCTAAAAAAATAATGCAGCAAATTTTTCTTTAAATTGGTAAGAAAATAGTTTTGGGATGCATTTATTTTTATGCACAGTGCGCCAAAAACACGAACCACCCTGAATGATTTTGATCTATTGATTGAATCGATCCTCACGCTTTGAACCATTAAGAGTGACTCCTAAAACCTAAAGATCCGATCATTACATCAAAAGTTATTTTTTGCTTTCCATTTTTAATTTAATTTAATTTTTTAGGTGCACTAAATATGATTTTTTAAGCGATTTTCTCCAAAAAAAGTTTTTTTAATTTGAGATATTTCAGAAATATTTGTAATAGTTTAATGGTCATTTTAATATAAATTTGATATAGATAGTGTTATAGATAAATTAACAATTATACAATTCCTATAATTTAGGGATTAAAAGAAACGAAAATTTTAAATTACTGAAATGAATAAATAAACTTATGGACACTTTTAAACGGTTTAATACCAATATTTTTTTCCTTTCCTTCAAATATTAGTTACTTGTTTGCTACTTGAAGTGTTTATTCTGTAGGTCTTTTTGAAAGCTAATTGTACAAAAATACCTAAGTTAATAAATTCAATCATTATATAAAGTATGCACTTCCTCTATATGCTGGAAAATTTATTTTTATCATGTCATTGTTTCAATCAACACGCATACCGATCCTTTCCAAAGAATATGCTGCCTTTTTTCCAAAATAAAAAAAAAAAAAGAATTGTCGTGTTTATGGTTTAGTAAAAAATATGCAAGAAAGAGCCGTACAATAAATTTACTAGTTTGTAAAGCTGTTTATGTTAAAATAAATTTCCCAAGTCTTTGAAAATGAATACTAACTTAAATTTTTTAAGTAAATTAAAAAACGATCAATATTTTATTAGAATAAATAATTGTGTACAGTTTCATAATATCTTTTATATTTTAGGGATTAGGATATATTTTGGACTTAGCAACTGAAAATTAAGCAACTGAAAATTAAGCATATAATTAAAATATGCGTGTCGACGGAAAGTACATTATCTATGCTGAAACAATGTTTTTAAACGATAGTTAAACATCATTAATATTTTCTGTTTCAGCCCCCTTAGCACCAGATAAGAGATTGCTGATCTCTGTTAATTCAAGTACAATCACAATCAATCTCAACAGCTGGCATAATGGCGGATGCCCAATCAGATTTTATGTTATCCAATACAAAGTCAGTGGACACAATGAATGGACATTAGTCAGCAATAACATTGTACCTGAGCAACAGACAGTAACAATAACAGATTTAATACCTGGTACATGGTATTCTCTCTTAATGACTTCCAGAAATGATGCAGGATCAACGGATGCTGAATACGTTTTTGCAACACTGACATCAACAGGAGGTGAGTGTTTTAAGCCTTTTTTAATCGAGAATTATTTAATTACTACCCAGAAAGCAATGTTCATTTAATTTTAATGCCAGAGACAACGTTTATCACAAAGCATGTCATAGTTTATAAATGTTCAGCAAATAAACCATGCAAGCTTGAAGTAATGCTAAACTTAACTATGCTACTTCTATGCTTCTCACTAAGCTGGCATAAACAACCCTTGTCTATTAAGATTAAATCTGCCTTTACAAAACAAGATTAGAGTTACCTCTTGAAATCGAGGATGATTCACAAGTCAAGAGAAGACTGCGTTTTCAAACAGAGGATAAAGTCATCTTCTCAAGGTTTGTTTTAGATTTTATGACCATCACTGAAACAAGGACTTTTTAATATCTTTTTTTAAACTGTGAAAGTTTCTGTAACTGTTAAAGCTGTGAAAAGGGAAGATTAGCCTGATCGTCAAACAAAATGTTGTAATTTAGAGCCTGGACAAAAGCCTGGCTAGAATGAAAAAAGCCAAATAAGTAAATAAATAAGTAAATTTTCAATAAAAGCTAAAAAAAATGAGATTCTTTTTCCATGTTCTTATTAATTTTTTAAAGAAATAAGCTTTTTTTACTAATATTTCAACTAAGCTTAAAATAAGGTAAATTAGTCAACTTTGGTGTGCCAATCAAATTAAAATGAAAATACATAAAAATGAAAATAATTCTTGCTATCTGGGAGTAAGCATAGTGATCACATAATTTTCGCGTATAATGTAATTATTTAAATTTAGAAAGTTTCTAATTAATACAAATCCTTCATTTAGTTTTTCTTAAAATCCTGAATTATGTCTATCCTTTAGAATATCCGCCACGTCCATCTGAGATAAGTGATGCAACAGGTTCATTTTACCGTCACCTCACTATCACTGTACCTGTAGTGAGTTCTGTGATTGTTTTGATATTAGTGATCTGCGTTGTTTGTGTAGGCACCAAAAGAAGAACACCCGGATGTAGACCGCGAACACCAGATGGTAATTATAGCATACGATCGTTAATTTCAATGTTTTAATTCAAAAAAAAATTCAATGAGCAAATGAAGATAAAATATTGTATGGATTACAAGCAAAAGAAGAATTATGGTTTCCTATATTATTTTCATAGAAATTTCAGATTTTTGAAGCATATATGAGGCATAACATCCTATTTATTTTTTACACCAAAACAAGCGTTTCGTAAATTCAAAAATGAAGTTGTAACACTGAGGAAAGAAGAGTATGGTCAAAATTACCACGGTATGCTAAACGTTGCCGTGCTTCTGGTTCTATGGGAATACCGAAAATTTCTTTAATTTTCACCAAAGAGTTTTCGTAAGGATTTTAATGAAATAAACAATACAATAGTGCTTTATCATATATGATAAAAATTGTTAAGTTTGGCAAATTTCTGTCAATTTATAATGTTACTTTGAGCTCGGCATAGAAACGATCGATAAAATTTGCTTTAAAGTTTTGCATTTTTAACTGAATACGTTGTAATAAGAACTATGATTTCTACCATGTGAACGAAAAATTTTCCATACCAAAACCCGAATATTTTAATTTTATTTGCCAAATGATGTTTCTTTTTCTAGCTAAAATTGTCATTAACTCATAGTATAGTAATTTCCCTTGCAAAAATACAATAAAATATTTCAAATTTTTTTTCATATAATCCTTTTTTGAAAAAAAAAATAAAAACAGAATTAATAAGCAAAATGCTGTTCCCTTAAAGCAAAGTAAAAAGTTAATGATGATAAAAACTGCTTAATTGTTCTAATTACCTGCTGTATTATTTTATCAGGAATATTGTTCACCTTTTAGAGATCCCATAAAAGAGCTTAATGAAGCATATTTGATAATTCCTGAAATTGAAAATTATTATTTATTATAGATTTAAATTTTACTGTTCTCAATGAAATATTCTTCATTATTATAAAATTTTTTTGGTGAAAAAATTAAATAAATTAAACTACACATTGTTCAAAATCAATAACTTATTTCAATTATTTTAAATTAAATAAAACATTAGGTATTATGATTGTTTGAGTTGAATGCTGTGCATAAGAAAGAGGAAAATTATTTTTTTAGAAACTAAAAAAGTGAAATAAATCTTTTTTTTAGATTTTTTTTATTGAAATATTTTCAAATAAATAATTCTCATAATCTAAGTTTATGGCAACAAATAGCAGTAGTGTTCATCATTAATCAATGGAGAAAATCATTAATCAATGGAGGCCTGTTCACATGTGCCCCTATTGGGGGCACATGTGAACAGGCCTGGGGCACATATGAACAAGATTAAAAACACAAAGCAATCATCATATTTCAAAGAAAAAAAATCTTTAATATAACAGATATAGATATGCATTATACTGAGGTGGTTGTAGCTTACTATGTGAATTTAAATTGTACAACAGTACTGTCAATAAAAAAATAATTTTTTAGCTGTACAATAATTTTTCCGTAATTGGGTTTTTCGCAACTTCATGTTCCACGGGTGTTGTAATGGGCCTTTTTCTTTCTTCTCTAATACTCTTTCATGCTTTTTTTTCTTTTTTTCTATCTTTTCATTTGCAGCTTTAGCAATTCTATTTTCTCAGGTGTATCAGTTAATATGCGTGATGCGCGATCAACCATTTAATAAAACAAAACTTTTTTAAAGGAAAAATTAATAAATTAATTATGGAAAATTAAATAATGACAATTTTAAATGCATACATATTTTTTAAACTGATAATATCATGAGAATAATAATCTTAATACTATGTAGGGGCACATGTGAACTGTTCNCGTAATATGTAAGTTATCCTTACATGCCATTTAATATAAACTAAGAACTTAGCTGAAACAATCAAAACGTGACTGTGGATTATGTTTTCTTTCATAATTTTACTATTTTTATTATCGTAAAAAATTTATAAAAAGTAAAAACAAATTTTTTTATTAGATTTCGTTATTTGTCTTCTAAATTCTTGTTGTAAAATAATCTGTAACTGAAAACTTCTTTGAGACATAACGCTTTAAGAATGGGACATATGGAACATATAGTTTTAAGAATTCGGAATGCCTCAAAATACTCCGAAAAGTTTTGCTTTTGAAAGAGAAAAAAAATAACTGTAGAATTATTTTCAAATTTTTCTTTTATTATTTTAAACAAATTAAAAAGTAGCCAAAAATATTTTACATTGCACAGTTTTCTGTAACAATTTTTTATTGTTTGAGCAAGTTATTTTTTAACTGTCACATTTTTTCTGCATTTTCTGTGCATAATAAGCCAGTGGCTCGATACGCAGAAACAGAAACAGCGTATGGAAGAAAAATTGTTTTTTTTTTCAAACTTACCCTTTCGTAAAACAGAAGATGTTAGCAACTGTGCAGTTAAATGTTTACAGTGTTCAATGTAATTATAAGATACTATCTGCTTATTTAGCATATATTTTATCATTAATCGGTGATTTGCAAAATGCTTTAAGATTGGTCGACCTCGGAACTCATCAGATCATGGGTTAAAGCTCCCTTATCGTTGTGCTAACCATCGGTTGATACTTTGACTAATGCATGTTTCACAAATCCTAAATGGATTTCACTATAAATATTGCTCTGAAGTCAAAAGTTCCTCAATGTTGGATCCGGTAATTACATTTTCTTTTGCAGTGGTTTCAAAATTATAAGGCTATGGAGTTAAATATTAGGAGTAATAAATCGATATGAATTAGCTGTGCAAATTAATTACTCATGCCCAATTGTGTTAAAATCAGGCAATATAAGTACTTGCTTGCATGCTAATTGCTTTCATAAATATGAAGTTTTTTCTTATTGGTAGTGATATTTCTTAGATTTCTTTATTTGAACTGCATTAATTATATTATTAAAACTACATAGTGTTTGGTATAGTCTCATTTTATGGCTTAATTTTAGGCAGAAAAAGAAGAATGTATCTATACAACGCCAGCAATATATCTCTCAACGTATGAGCACGCAGGTAAGAATGTGTGATTTCTTTTAATAATTATTTAACTTTATTAAACTCCTAAGCATTGAAAATAACATATTTAGTACTTAAAGTGACGATAAAAGAAATAGTGATAAAGTGAGGCTAAAAGTAAGCAACTGTTTATCAACAAGTTAAAATTTTTATCTGCTCTATAGATTTATAGATGCATAGTCTTTTGAGATTTAAAAATGCAAGTTAACTACCCAGAACTTCACATAATTTATATTAATTTATCGACAATGATAAGATTTAATGTAACTAAATTATATGGATGTTAGAAAATAGGTTTTTTACTGATAAGATAAGAGTACAACTCTTATTTTATCTCGATAATGATTAGATTTAGTATAACTTATTGTTATGGTTGCTTGGTAATAAGCTACTTACTTAACAGATAATGGTTTAAAGTATGGTAAACTGATTTCGTAAGTTAATGCATATAAAATAAAAAGGAATAAAGATTTTTTAACCCTTCTACAATTCCTGTTCGTCGTATAATGCTCAATGATACTTAAGAATTTTAATAGTTCTAAGGATTCGTATTTTAATTGTCATTGATCATGTTTATTCTTTGTTGTGTAGAGTTAGAACTACGAACGCATAGAGAGCTAGCAATTTATGAGGTACCTGACAGAGGGAGGTTTATAATGGATGGAGAAAAATTATGGAGAGGTTCCGGAGATGGGTAAGTCAATAGCTTCTCGTTACTATTAGTTACTATTACTTACTGTTCGTTACTCTTTGCAATTACTATTAAATTAACAACTTTAAATTTTTAGAAGGAAAAAAAATTGGAAAAAATATCAATTTTTTGCAAAAATTCTCGCTTGTTCAAATTTAAAATCTAACTTATTAAAATTTATGATTTATGAAGGTCAGTTAACTTACATATTTTATTATATCATGTATCTCCTAAGGGCAACAATATTATATTTATGAATTTGGAAATACGAATTCCCTTGTAAAAGAAAACTGAAAATAGATTTCCAGAGTTTAACTTTCTTTTGGAAGGACTATAACGATTATCTAACAAATTTATTTATTCGATTGTTTTGATATTTAGAGAAAAAAAGTTCCATTGACCAAAAATACTATTTTTTTACTGTAAATAACTTTTACTTTCAAAAAACGCCTTCAATGGTTATTTTTCGAGGGCTCCGTAGTCACATGAAATGAGACTTTTTCTCAAAACTGTGCTATTATTGTAACTGCTGTGAGTTTGCAACAGTTGCTCAGGGTGCTATCTATGCTTAATATAAAAATAGTGCAAAACGTCTATATGGATAAAAGCCACAGTTGCGTGAAAATGAATAGCGTTTGTAGTCTAATTTTTTTAATATTCAAAATCTTACTCCAAATCTGCATTATCTATGCTCATAATAATTTGCAAAAACTAAGATGAGTACAGTGATTTTGATAACTCTCATGAAGGTGGGAAAATGTATTCGAATTGTCTATTTAAAAAAAGGTTATTAACTTCTAAAATATTTAAATTACACTCTATAACGAAAAAATCGACGCACCAAGAAGCAATCATCCGATTGCTTTGAAATTTCGTATGCATGTATGTTTTGAACAGATATGCCTGGAATTTTGCCAACTGCGGACGTATAGTCCTTAGCGACGAATTCCGCTTCCAACTGCGTGCTGACGATCATCGAAGACGTGCTTGGAGACGCAGAGGGCAGAGGGGGAATTCTGCCTTCACTATTGCACGCCACACGGCCCTCAACAAGGCATTATGGTCTGGGGTGCCATTTCCATTGACAGCCGAACCCCTTTGGTTGTCATTAGAGGTACACTTACTAAACAGCGGTACGTCGACGACATCCTAAGACCTGTTTTGCTACCGTTCCTTTTGCAGAGCCCTGGGCTCATTTTTCTGGAGGACAATGCCAGACCACATACGGCACGTGTTGCTATGAACTGTCTGCAAGCTTACCAAACTCTTCCTTGGCCTGCCAGATCACCAGATCTCTCTCCCATCGAGCATGTCTGGGATATGATGGGAAGGCGATTGCATCTGGCACGGAATGTTGATGAAATCGTTCGACAATTGGATCGAATTTGGCAGGAAATACCGCAAGAGACCATCCGGGATCTTTATCGGTCTATGCCACACCGTGTGGCAGCTTGAATCCAGGCTAGAGGCGGGTAATCACCTTATTGAACTTGTTACTGTAACTCTGCAATAAATTATTCACATGCTCCGAAATTTCAATCATTTACTATTCTGTATATAGTCTTCCTATCCACCAATTTTCGTTTTAATCGGACAACTCCTTCTTTGTGCGTCGATTTTTTTGTTATAGAGCGTATTTGCCTGCTCTAAAGTCCAGATAATTCTTTATTGTTATATGGTAAATGTAACACAAAATAAAATTATAGCTTTGTTTCAAGTGTAAGGAGCATAAACTGTGACTTTTTAATTTCCCTTGTCCTTTCTATTTTCCTTGGATTCGAAAAGCCATGTTAAAGCCTTAAATAATGGGATTGATGAAAGAAATTGCATCTTTTTCGTTATTTTGGCTATCGCTACACACTTTTTATGCTATATTTCTGTAATATCAAATCATTTGCGTATGTTTTTTTTATCAACCAGAGGAGTTTTCAGACAAATCTTCATTCATCTGGGAGGACACGCGAGGGTCATTTCATGACCCCATACATTCTATATGTTCTGATTCTAAAAACATTCTAGACCCCTGTTCATCCTTTTTTATTAGTAGCAGTAGTTTCCATCTGTATATGCCTTTTGTGAATATTTAGAAAGTATTTGCGGGTATTTTTGCTTTCTCAATAGAAGTTTTTATTAGTTACTGGGGGTCATAGAATGTCCCTCAGTTTCAGTGACCCTGCACATTTTGCTTCTTGCGTCAGCCAAGTTGAGTGCATTATTTATCACTCTCAATTAAAGTAATTCCTAATTGTTTACGTGGTAATTTCTGCATAAAATGTCTTTGTATATCAAATTTCTCCAAGAAAACATGATAAAAATCACTATAAACATTCATGTGCGCATTAAAACAAGCATATCAAGTATAATACAATAATTTATATATTATTATTTATTAGATTAAAATTATTTATTTGATTAGTAATTATTATTATTTGTTTATTAGATATTATTTATTAGATTAGTAAATATTATCATGCACTTTAAAATTTTATCACAAAAGGAGTGGTAAAAGGCTTCAAATAGTTACACAATAAATATTTAACGTCTAAGATCCAAGGATGTTATATTTCTAAGAAAAGAATTTAACGTATTTAGCAGCGTATTAACCGAAGTACTAAGCATCTGGAGTCATTCGATGATCCCCTAGCATCTTAACATTCTTCCGGGAGGAGTGAGTCATTCAGGGATAAAAATTTCGCAATTCAAGAACTATTTGCGTTGTACAGAAAAAAAAATTTAGATTCCAAGATTTTCCTTTATTAGCGCATTGTCAATTTACGAAATGATCATGCATTACGAATTAAAATGCGAGTCGATGTTTCGATAAACAGAACTAAGCCAGCATTTCCAGTTAAGTTGATTTGTTCAATCTGTAGATAGAGATATTAAAGCATTAAATAATACATTCAAACAGAAAGGATAAAAACTGCAGAATACATATTATTATAAAAATAAAATTATATTGATGGCAAGTAGAAAATAGCATTACATTTCCGTATAATTGAAGGAAAAGAAAAACAGCTGATTTGGTTTAATTAGCAGTTAGCGTCGAGGATTAAAATGAAAAACAAAATCTGCTAAATTACAAGTTCAACTAAGATGCGAAACAAATTCGGCAATAAAAAATAAGGGTGAAATGTTGCAATTAAAAGATTCTGAAGAAGGAAATTAAAAGAAAACACATGGAAAGAGAGATAAATTAATGATCTTGCCAATCTGTTGCAACTTTGCGTCTACATTTCTCCATCAACTAAACTTTTTTTTTGTATATTTTTTTAAAAATGTTTTTAATAAAAATCAGCACCCCTATCTTTAGTAGTGACTTTTATTAGAAAGCAGCGCTTGATTTTAAAATATCCCATGTCAGTTTACTTTTTGCGAAAATTTCTGGAAGATTTGATAACTTAAATATAATGAGAAAATTATTTTGTTTGTAGAAATTCCAGCACAGAGTCCGATAATGATGATTTGATATTTTCTCTGCACTCAGCTGATGATGTCATTTTAAGAGAAGAAGCGAGAGAGTCTGAAACTGAGTGTGATCGACTATGTGAGTGATAATCAATACGCAAATAAAGTCAATAATTAAATTATTTTAAATTATTTAGGATTACGAATAAAACTATAATTATTTTATTCAAAGTTTAAAACATATACATTAAAGTCAAAGTTGTGTTTTTCTCAATCGAGAGTTAAAGATTTACACTACAGTACAAAATATTAACTCAATAAATGTGGATATTTTTTGGTGTAGCCCTGCCTCAAACAAATGTATCATTATGTATCATTATTATGGACTTACTTTCAAATTATCGATTTTTACCACGATGGAAGCTGATAGATTCCATTAGAGAGAATGATATATATGAAAAATTCTGTTCAGGAAACTTTTGGAGCAGTCATCAAAATATTAGTTATCGGCATCTCCTTAGAATGTTGGCATTCCGCAACATTTACAACACTAACATTCAACATTCACACTGCATTATTTATGCATAACATATTAGCATTTATACTTTAGAATCTAGAATATTGGAAACAAAACTACTTAATTAGATTAAAATTTCCGGATTCTCGGAGATTTGGAAATTTCCGAATCTCCGGAATTATAGAAGTAATACCGTTTTTAAATACATTTTTATCAAAAATAATGTTATGTAGCATTTAAATTTAATTTTTAAATGTTCATGAAATATATATTTTTTGTGATATGAATGTAACTAAATTATATTGCAAGACCCACTCCCACTATTTTCCTTGTTTGATCCTGATTGTCTGCTTTTTTGAATAAGCCGTTATAATACAACCATGCTCAAAGCAGCGTCTAATCCTAAGCCTTTATCTGATTTCATTGAATTTCATGGCGTATTTCAGTGATTTGCATTCATTTGACAGCTTTGTAAGGCTTTCCCTCTGCTCTATTCATACTATAATATCATGATTTATTTGTCCAGATAACCTAACACTCTTCCTTATAGCAAAAGTGGAAGACATAATTATTATTATCAACAGAATTACCACAGAAAAAAAAGGGAATGTGAGATTAAATTCAACAACAATAACTAACAGACTCGCCAACAAACAAAGCATTTTTTGTTGCTCTAATAAAAAAAGACAAATGTATTTAGTCGTCATGCAGTACTAAAATAGTACTATTCTGAGACGACTTCTTATATGGCTGCATTAGGAAAACAATTAATTGAGATCTTCAATGGAGGTCTGGAGAGAATATTTAAGAGAATATTAATATTAGAAGAGTCTTTAATTTAATTTAGATAATAATTGTATATATAGTAATTGTAATACTTCAATTAATTAATTAATTGGAGTATATACTATAATAAAAATTAAATATACTCCAGCTACCGATCACTAAATAGATTTTTTCGACTTTAAAAGCACCCAGACTTTCTGATTTTATCACGGAGAATCGAACCGAAACCGATTAACACTGAGGTTATCGAAGAATATAGACTGTTAATTTTTTTTTCTAGAATAACGGAAAAATAACCGGTAGCAGTCTGTTCATCAAAATAGCAGTAAAGATTAAGGTTAGGAAAATTGCTTACCTTTACGATTTTGCAACCATTTGCAACTTGCATGATTTCTAAACCGTAAAAAATAAAATTTAACTGAGCATTGGAGTTACGTTGTAATTGAGTTGTGTTTTGCCAAATGAACAGTGAAATGTACCTTAGTTAATTAATTTGATGTTATTATCTATCGTGAGAACTAGTAAATACAATACCTTTTTGTATTAAGCAGGTCTCTGGTGCATCCAGTCACGAATTAAAATTTTGTATTTTATTAGTCAAAGGTAGCGAGTCTATTTTATTAGTGCGAGTCTCTGGAAACTCTTCATACGAAGGAATGAAATTCATATGTTGTGTCAATGTTGGGATTCGAACCCGTTCACAAAGCCATGAGCCGGAAATTTGTCCTCACAGCTATGCTATGTGACCAGATGGAAAGAACTAAGCGGCTTCCTCAAATGGGCTTACTTAACGCCGATAAAATTCTAGTTGTTTAACAGTCAACAGTCAATTAACAATTTTTTTCACAGTTATCAATTTTACTACTATGTTTTTATGGCTATTTAACTATTTGGGTAGGATATGGTAAAATAACAATTTAATGTATGGTTATTAGACTATTTTTCAGACAAATCTTTAACAGCGCCCAACCACTTTGATTGAAAAGCAGGCATGAAAGGAAAGAAAAAAAAACACTTTAGAATTGGCAAAGGTAGTCAGATGAAACCGGCTCCGATAGATTAGATGCTATTGTATTTTGAAATTAGAGCTTTATTACACATTTAATAAATGCATGAAAATTTTTAGTAATTAGAATTATACTAAAGATTTTGATTTTAGTTTGAAGTGTTACATTTGCGAAATTTTTCAGGGAAAACCTATGAAGTTCCACGTTGCAAAGAAATGGGTCGTTGGAAAGACGGAGTGTTAGCTCCATCATAATTTCAGAACCAATAAGTAAGTACCAAAAATATAAATAGTATAACTACTACAAGATATCCAAACAAGAACTATAAAAATGAAAAAAAAAACAAAGATCTGCATGATAAGCAAATAAGAGCTACAAATATATTTACAATAAAAACACATTTCTTGTTAAATGCTTAGATAATATACATAAAAGTATAGATAGGTTACAGTCTTGTAAGCAACAACCCATTTCCTCAATTAGTCAGTGCATGGCGAGTATTATCTCTAGTAGTATAACAGCTGTTCGCTTAAAATCGGTCATCTTGAACTCAGCCGTCCAATTTAATGGCATTGGATTTATTTTTCGGGGATTATTTGATATGAAAGAATTATGATATCAAAACCATGACCACTCAAATCTAGACTATAGATTTTTTTTTATTTCCAGTGCAGTAGGCGATACAGACATTATCCTAACGCCGTACAGAAAAAAAAAGAAAAATACAAATACAAAAAAGAGATGAAATTTACAAAATACAAAAATACGAGCAAAACATAAAACACAAAAATTAAATCAAGAATTTAAATTGAACAAAAGGTCTCTGGCCTCCCAGTATCGGTAGTAGATGCAGTTCTTTGCGAGAACTGTACAGTTGAGGATATGTTCAGCATTCATCGTCGCACCACTGCGGCAGAGGGTGCAGGCAGGATTATCCACTATTTTAAGACGGAAAAGATGAGCATATAAGCAATCGTGCTTAGCAGCAAGACGAAAGGCAGCTACAGCACTGCTTCTTGGGCTATCGGGGAGATTCAGGATGTCATTTCTCCACGATTTCTCTTTTGTCCGTTCTTTTAGCATTGATATATGTGTTGTCTTAAGTGCATGATTAATCATTAATGAAGTTGACTTATAGCTAACCAAGTTATTTTGGGGCTTGATTAACAAAGCCACCTTTTTTGACCAGTGCATCAGTTTTTTCCTTGCCGGGGATACCACAGTGGTATGGGATCCATTGTAAGGCAATCGTTTTATATTTTCCCCCATCTCTGTCATTAGAGATCTACATTTCACCATGGACAAAGAGGTAGGGTCTTGAGAGCAGTTGGCAATGGCCAGAATCGCAGCTTGGGAATCCGAGAAGATGACAGCTTGATCGAAGAGAGAAGAACGAGCATTTAAATGGGTTAAAGCTACTTTGATTGCCTCAACTTCACCCTCAAAAGTGGTCTTGGCTATTCCCAAAGACTATAGATATTAAACTACCTTATATAAACGATATTATATAAACGAGATTACACGATAATAGTGGCAAACCGTGATTGAGAGCTTTATAAAAGAAGATCATGTGCGCTGAAACTAATCATTGCGAATTTCAAAACTACAATGTATTTAAAATTCGAATTTTTTGTTCCTTTTAAAACACTCTATAGAGTGTTACAGTTAATAATATAAAATAGAAAAAACACTAATTAAATTCTACGATTAGACAAAATAGCCAACTTAAGATTTCAAACGGATGAAACTTATTAACTTTGGAATTCGGAGAAAGCAAATGTGCTTTCTTAAAAATTGTAACTCTTTTAATGATTTTCTTATCATTTATATAATTAGAAATATAATAAAGAGACTTACGAAAATTTTATTTCAGACACAGCGTTTTAGTTTGTTTTAAATGCTTTTTCCAAATTTATACGAAATCATTATTCTATTTAATGCGTTTAATAGTATAAAATGTGTATTTTTTTAAACTATTTTATTCTTAAGTTCCGCAAATTAGTATAGATTGAAAATATATTTGGATAATTATGATCATTTTTTTAAAATTACTTTATGTTTGAAGGCCACAAATTAGTATAGTTATATATGGGGGCCAATGAGATAATTTTATAAGCCTGAATGTTAGTTATGTTATAGTTTACTTAACACCACCTCACTTCTTTTTTTAATTTATTCTGCAGGTATTACTTGCATTATACACCAGGAGCTTGAAAAACTTATACAAAGCCTGATCAAGAAAAGAAAACGGCTCAATTTGTTAACAACATAGGTCCATCATTTTGTTCTGTTCAAAAGAGTTGAAAATATGAAAGCAATGTAAAATATTTTATTTACGTTGAAACGCTAAGGAGAGAAATTATTAAAGGAAGTGCTGAAATATATAAAAATATCGTGGAGTATTTATTTTTAGGTTGAAGCATCAGGCGGAGGAATTATTCAAAGCATTAAAACAACATGAATGATTTTTTTTTTGTTGAAGCAACAGGCAGGAACTATTGACGAAATTGTTGAAATATATAAAATATCATAAAGAACTTTTTGCTTGTGTTGAAACACCTAACAGATGATTTATTGCAGAAAATGTTGAAATGTATAAAAATATCGCGGAATTTGTTGTATCGCGTTTATGTTGAAACACTAGACGGAGGAATTATTCAGAAAGTGTTGATAAGCATTAAAACAACATGGATGATTTTTTGTTGTTGATACAACAGGCAGGAGCTATTGACGAAATTGTTGAAATATATAAAATATCATAGAGAACTTTTTATTTGTGTTGAAACACCAAGCAAATGATTTATTGAAAAAAATATTGAAATATATAAAAATATCACGGAATTTGTTGTATCGCGTTTATGTTGAAACACTAGACGGTGGAATTGTTGAAGAAATTGTTGAAATATATGAAGATATCGTGGAATATTGTTTTATTTACGTTGAAACATGAAAGTAATTTGTTCTGAATATTGAAATGAGCTGACACTCGGTCTGGAAAGAAGCTTCGCATTTTAGAAAGCTTCCTTTTTTAAGAAAAGTTATGATCAAAAAGGTTCTATTTTTAGTAGAAAAGATTTGTACTTCCTCTTTGTATAAACTTGTTTAATGACAAAACTTTTCAATCCATATGATGATGTTACACTTTTATCTTAAATTTACGTATGTGTACAATAAAAGAATATTGATGTTTTAAGATCTTGGTATTCAATTTTTGAATCAATTTTTTTCTTCACTTGCAGAAAATGCTAGTTATTTAAAAATGAATTATTTTTAATATAAATATGTATAAGAAATATGCCCTTATAGTTAAAGCTGTGTCGCTAAAAAGTTTGTATGGCTCCCAGTTTCGGCTTATAGCCTTACAGCATAACGAAAGTAACCCAATTTGGCTAGATCTGGACTAGACAAATGACGGTTTAACTATTCCTTACTTGACATACTGGCAATTTCAATATATTGAGCCAAAAACACTACGTGTCTTCTAGATGTGATGCTACTCCTCATTGATTTTCCTAAACACAATATGCACAAACAGTATGCACAATTATCATTAAAGACCCATAAGAAATGGCAGCAATATGCTGTACGCGAATCGTAAAATACCAATTCATTCATGCAATTTAAAATAAATCTAGTAACGTGTTCCTGTAAATGTAGCTTGCGGTACATTTTAAACGGAATGAATATCTTACCCATGGTAGTGTTTCTTCTAAAATGCACACACATATTAATTCAAAATGGCAGTTTTTGGACAATACCGAGGATGGTCAGGAATTTATGATTTGAAACTAGATGTTAACTGGTATTCGAATGATACAGATGTCTGGAATAATATTTCAGCTCTAATATGGAATAATATTTCGGGTCTTTCTTCCTTCTTCTGTTCTCTAAATACCAAGAGCATGGTCCAAATGACACTGCACACATTCTCTTTGGAGTGAGTTTCAGGTATTTGTACCTTCTATTTTTTAAGCACCAAACAAATTAATCGAATGATACGGCACACTATTCCCTTAGAATGAGTTTCAAATCTTTGTACCTTCATTATATTTAAACATCAAACGAATTATCTAAATTAAACGGCACACTATCTCCTAGTATTGAGTTTCAGGTATTAGTACCTTCTTCTATATTCTGAGCACCAAATTAATAATTCGAATGCTACGGCACACTCTCTCTATGGAATGAGTTTCAAGAATTTGTACCTTCCTTTATTTTTTAAGCACCAAATGAATTATTCGAATGCTACTGTCACTCTATCTGCTTAGAGTGAGTTTCATGTATTTGTACCTTCCCCTGTTTTCTAAGACGCAAAGGAGTTCACATAAAAGTATGCATAAGCTTTTATACTCCTGATATCATCCTAACAGTATATATTAACAGAAAATATTTAATCATACTGCTAAAATAATGTAATTTTAGTATGGTTAAATTATGTACGTGGTTATAATAAGATTAAAACATGCATGCTAATATAGCATAATATTTAATTATATGGATAAATCAGATAATGCATATTATATTGTGAACACTAATAAGTAAAAAACTTCTAAATTTCACATTATTGAAGAAAAGGAATTTGTAGTCATAGCTAATAGAAGCAATTTGGGCTTTCAAATTTAAGTGGCATACCATTAGGAAAAACGTGACATTGATTGAAAAATAAAGAAATGCTATTTTGATGTTGTTAACTGCCGTAAAAGTTCTCACCTAAATTACCTCTTTAAATACACATGAATTATTCATCGCACACATTTCTGAAGCCTTTAATGACATGGACGACTAATTTGAATCTTCAAACCAGAATTACCTTTTTTTCATTTGATTTAAGTGTTAGAATGCTTTTAGTCATGAGTGTTTCTCAAATAAGGCTAAATTTGTACCATTAACGCAAATTAAGGGAGTACACTACTTTTAAGACACAATTTTATCCAATCATTTTAAAATTAAAATAGCTTTTTTGCTTGGTTTGATAAAACTAATGAATTATATATTGATCATATTAAGTCTCGAAATATTTTAATTGTGCAAAATTTAAAGAAAATAAAACATATGTATTTGTTTTTAAAACATGCTTATTAAAAGCTGATGAAATATTTAAAAGTTTTTCTTTTTACTAATATAAATTAATAGTATAAATTTTACAGTAAAGATGCCATTTATTAATATTTACAACCTCATTATGTCTAGTTTAATTTTTAAAAGGAAATATTTAATAATTTCTGATACATAATTAAATTACAAAATATCTGTTTAACTTTAATGTTTTTTAAGACTGTTTTGGATAACTAAATTGCAATAGGATAAATTAATGCATGCAACAATTTCTCTGAATCGAAGCTTTTGCTTCCATAAAAATTAAATGTGTTTCTTTATATTTCAAGTGTAATTTGATCTGAAGTGGAAAATAGTACAAAATAAAAATAATAATTTGTAATTTAAATGAGTATAACGATAATTTTTCATCTCATTTCAAGTAATCTTTGTTTATGTATTTGATTTGATAAGAAAAAAAATATCTCCACGCCTTAAACCTTCACCGAGACAAATTCAGCATGAATGATTTCGACAGATTATTCTATCAAAAGTAGTAAACAAAAAAATGAAGAGTATGCTTTTTTTTAATTAGTTTTAAGTTAGGTATTTGTTTTAATCCTGTGACAAAATATTTATTCATCTTAGATTGAAAATATAATGAGAACGCATTTGTTTATTCAATTATATTAAAAATTAATGAGCTAAAATGAAATTAAATGCAATACGAGTGCCAAAAAAAATTATAATTCAGAATTATTTTTTATTTTTATTTTACAACCCTGATTTAATTGCATTTCACATCATTTAGCTTTCAAATTTAATTTTTCGAAAGTTTTCTTTCCATTTGATAATCGTTATTTTCCATGAAACTTAATTAACTTATATTAAACATATTTGCCTCTACTAATTCACGGTTTTATGGGAAAATAATTAAAAATATATCTTTGAAAATTTATTAAAAAGCATTCTAGTGTGCTACTATATAAGCCATTGTATAGAATTTGGAGTTGATAAAATAAATAAAAGCAATATTCTTTTAATGATATAATAATTTTTGATCATAATGTAATTTTATTGAAATATTTGTATGTTTGTTCATGGTACAGTTATTTTCAATTAATCTTAATTTCTCATTTGAAGAAATTAATTTCTTTTCATAATTATAAGTTATTTTATTTTTGGGAAATTAAAAAAAAATATAGAAAAATATGCGCATTTTTAAATATGGAAATTATTTTGAAGTTACGCGTATTACAAAAGATTCAATCTCCATTGAAAATTGAATTAACTGAATTTCCTTCGAAGTTTGAGAAAACTAAAAATTAATCATTTATGAATTACGATCCTAATTTATTTAAGCGATTTCGACCGTATTAGATTCATACGATCATAAATTGATTGAACTTAAAAATGAGCGGTACTAAGAATTGTTAATTTTTATTTCCTTTTGGGAATGAAGTAATGTTTATTTTTGAAGTAATGAGGTCTATTTTTCAGAGTTCGTAATGGAAAGATATTTATTTTTCAAAATGTACAAATCGTTGGTAAGTTCTTTATTACAGATATGTCTCATATCGCAAGTGTAAAAAATTGACATGGGAATTTAGGACATGGGAAATTAAAATGGATATTTAAGAATATTGAACAGAGCAAATCTATTTTTTTCAATCTTTATTATGAATATGGTATTTTTAAGAATTAATTTATTGATTCAAATAAGCTCGTAATGTGATGGTGTTTTATTTGCATAAATTTCCTAAAGATATATATTTATTTTAGTCTGAGTCTATTTTTAAGAGATTTAAAGTTCCACAGTTCTTTTTATAGAGTTTTACAGTTATTAGAAACGCGTAATAGTAATAGACTATGTATGTTAATACCCGTAGAACTTTCAATAGTTTAGATGCTACTAATTGTTCAGAGATCTAAATAAGAAGAATAAAATGAATTGAATGCTGAATTTTTCATAAACTTTTTGAAGTTTGTTTCATTTTTGGAGTAAGACCAGCATTTTTGGAGTGTACACAGTTTTTAAATTTCTTCTTTAGTAAGCAAAAATTTCATAAAATTAGTGGCACTGAAGATAAGATTATTTGCATGCCTTTGGATATATATTCTGTTCTTGATAGTTTCTTCACTTCGGCACTTGGTAGCTTGGTCAATTCAAGCTTTTTTAAAAATCATGTTTATAGTATTTTATTATATTAAAAACAAAAAAATAATGTTTATATTGGATAATTAATCATAGAATCATTATTATTATCATGGAAAATTTTAAAAGGGACACTATTACCTTATGCAATTGGAAAGGAAAACATGACCATCTTTACAAGCAATTACACAGCTATGAAAATTATTGTTGCCTTATCAGGTTACTTTATCCTTTCTAAATTGATGTGGTTAGTGAAATTTTACAGAATGAAAGTAAACAAATAAATTATTTTGCCCATCTACAACAAATATAGCAAACAGTAGGTAATAAAACTCCATTACTCTTTCGGTTTCGAGTGAATTTTCTGCAGTAGTAAAATGCAATAAAAGTTTTCTAAGACATTTTGAGTTAACTAAAGGTTTTTTGAATTTAAAAAATAACAATAACTTAAGTTTTACCTCGTTTTAGTAGAAATGTGTTAAGAAACACGCTTGTGAAAGATTTTAAATTAAAATAATCTCTTAATTCAGTAGGTATTGAATGCTTTTGTTAATCAGTATTTAAATATATTGAATGATATATTGTATAGTTGTTTAAATGAAGTTCAATTATTTCTTAACTAAGTTATAAGTATTTTATTTATAAAACTATTATATTGACGAGAGTCTCCTGAAAGATTTTTTTTAAAAGCAAATGTAAGCAAAAAGTAGAATTTCAGAAATGTTTTCTTTGAACGTATGGGCAGAAGTCTTAAACCAGAAAGAAATGTAACAAAAAAAAATTAATCTCCAAAGAAAAATAGCTGCATTTGAGTCTTAACTCAGATTTTAGACGATTCTTCATGATCTACAAAGCGAACAAATTAGGAAAGAGATGCGATCTGAAATCGTGGATCCGTAAAAAAAATAAGAAGGAAAAAAGAAACTACTACTTCCTGTAAGTCTTCTATTAAAAATGAAGTAAATAAAAATAATGAAGCGAACAACTTTGACAAGTTTTTTTCT